CGGTTAAAGGCCATAAACCTGTGCCAGCTGGACGGTATTCGGAATATATAGAAGAAGCAACGCACATCTTCACTTGACACCACCAGTTCCTCATCACTAACCAGCTCCAGTGGTGACATTCCAGCCCATGAAGGTAAGGTAGAAATATCACTGTCCAGCGCACGGCACACCGCATTCACAGGTACCAAGTTCATGATTACCCGCATAATTTCCCAGTCCCCTTCGAACTCATGTTTGGTCACCCCAAACAATCCGTTCAACAGAAGTTTACCTTGCACCCGAAAAATCTCATCCTCGTGCACCCGGCTGAAAACCCCTCTTTCCATCATATTACCGCAAAACTCCTCCCAGCACTCAGGAGGTACCATTACACGTGGTGGACGTACATAAACTTGATCACGAGGGTCCAACAAATATTCCTCGAAGTTAGCCACATAGTGATGAGAGCCCAGCTCAACCACCGACCCAAGATCAACACCACCTACTTCACGGGGTAGTGCGGGGGCAACATTTGCCCATCTGATCCATTGTGCATTGAGAATTTCATCTCCTTTATAGTCGACTCCTCTAACACGGAAGAACTCATCCCAGGATACACAAGGAACATGTGCGGTCCATTTACACACTCTACAACATGCAGGCAACAAACCTTCTAAAATTTGTGTTTGAAGTTTAGACGGCTTGTCACCCTTAAAAAACATCCCTTCACCATTGAGGGAATTCAACGCAGAACAAAGAACCCTAAGACAGACCAACCAAGTTTGTTTTGCTTCGGGGAATAGATGGCTTAACAGCACGAGGGACGTGGGCAATGGAAAAACTTTGCCCGAGGACACGACTTTACGGAGCGGAAAATCAAAAAGGTCCGACCTGCTATCAAGCCACCTAATACACATTTCCATCCCAAAGCCACCCTGATCAGTCTGCTCACTTTTTGCATCGCCCTCAGCTTGGCCCAAGCCTAAGCTTTGGCTGTCTGGTTCTTGAATTCTCTCTCCTGAATTAGGAGACAAACCTGGCATTGGAGCAGGAGAGGTGGCAGCCTCTCCACATCCGGGGTGAAACGCTCGCAGGAGTTGATTCACTCCCAAAGCAGCCCGTTCTTCTCCTCTTTTACGCATCACCAGTGTAGAGCCCTTGTCAACATTTTTCTCTGAGTCCAAGTCGAGCCTTCCTTCTCTTGTCACCATCCGCAGTTCTCTCCCCTTTTCCTCGGGAGCTTTGTCCTCCTCTGCAGGCCTCTCTCGGCCACCTTTTCTCCTCTTTTTCGCTCCCTGGCGCAGGAGGTCTTCTCCTCCCACCTTCAGGAGGTTTTTCTCGGCTCCTCTCGCGGCTTTCCCTTTGACTTTCCTTTTTCCTTGCCGCCTTCTTTGTCTTTGCTTTTCCCTTTGCCCTTGTCTCGAGACCATGTCGCACCACTGCCCTTGGACTTCAGGTCGAGGGCCGCCTCCCTTTGTGCAAGCTGCAGCTCGGCTCGCGTCGCCACCCCCGCGTCCACATTGGGGATGATTTCTACTTTTTGGCTGGTGGACCAGCTCTGTCCGCCCAGCACCAGCTCCAGGCTCTTTAAACGCTGCACTAAGGCGTCGCACGCCTCTGCCGCGCGGCCCATCAAGAGATAGTCTCCCAAGACCACCAGCGTCTCGATCTCCCGCTTCAATCCTCCACTTGCTTTCGTCAGGAGGTATTGCCGAGCGTATTGGCAAAGCACGGGAGGTAAACTCCCCTCCTCCAGGTTCCACGGATTGCCACTGCTCTGCATGATGAATGTTTTCATCGTTTGCAGAGCAGCCGCTGCCAACACCCCCGGCGCCACTGTGGCAATTTTTTGAAGTTTCGAGCGGTCTTGAAGCAAGTCTTCCTCGACTCTCTCGTCGCCGGTGGAGCTGTGGCTGCTGCTTGAAGACGAACTGCTGGAGCTCTCCTTTGCCTTCTTCAATTTCCGTTTCATGCGGGCCACAATCTTCTTTCTTTGCCGGGAGTCCGGATCCAGGCCTGTATTCTCGAACAAAGCGGTAAGAGCTTTTTTGGCCTGGTTCCGTCCTCCCACCTTCTTTTTCTCTTTCTTGCCCTTTTTCTTTTTCTTTTTCTTTTTCTTGCCCTCTTTTCCTTCTGAGCTCCCACTGGTCTCGCTCTCGGTGGCCTTCTTCTTTTTCTCCTTGGGAGCTCCTCGCTTTTCCATATCTATCCTCAGATCGGCATTCTCGTCGGTCACCAGGAGGTTCTCCTCCCATCCCTTTTCTCCTTCAGGTGGCACCCGTTGAAACTCTTTGAGGTGGATAAGATCCGGGTTGGTACGAAGCTGATCACAACCACGGGGACAAAGATGAGCTCGAAGTTTCAATCCCGGCTGACCTGTGACGAATCTCAGGAGGTTCTCCGACTGAGTCCCCGTCACTGTAACGGAGGCTTCAGCCTCCCCGTCCTCCACTGACACTTTACTGATCTTCAGGGCCACCTTGCACACCTCACCACAGTAGTTGGCTGTAGAGCTCTGGATCCAGTCTCCTTTTCTAAAAGACCCAATGGGGTAGTGAGCCGCCAAGATGATCTCACCTGCTTTATATTTTCTCTCCCACTCCTCGGGAGACAAAACGGGAGCAGGCTCCCCTTCTGCTTCAGGAGCTTCTCCCTCACCTCTAGCAGCCGGCCGGCGCCGACCAGGGCCACGAGGGGGCGGTGCAGCCGCGGCCGGCCTCCTCCGCATCAACGGCCTCTGTAGTCTCCCCCTTGGGAATGGTAGCCGTCCACCCGGGCTGCCTTCCGAGACGGATCCGTCCCGTACTGTCTAATATCCCAATTTCGTTGCCTCCTCTTGACTCCTTTGCTGTTCCAAGTGCCGTAACCGTAAAAACCACCCGGATGATCAAAACGCCCAGGAGGGGGTGCAGTTGGCAATCTAGGCCTTTGCAACGGCGGCAACTCTGGCTCGGGAGGAGGACGACTCCCTGTAGAATGCCGCCTCCTAGAGCGACTCTTCTCCCTCCTTCTACGGGAGCTATATCTGCTTCTAGACCTTCTCCGCTCTCGGTCTCTATCCTCACAGCTGCGGCGGTGTTCTCGCCTTGGACTTTTCTTCTCAGATTTTTTCTCCCTCACCTCGGGAGTGCGGCTCTTTTTCTTCTCGGTTTCTTCTCTCTCAGGTGAAGCAGCCGGCGCACGACTACCAGCGGGAATGGCCGGAGAGCTGCACTCCTCGCCCTCAAGTTCAACTTCTTCTTCTTCACTTTCTTTCTCTTTCAGGAGCTCTTCTGTCGCAGGCTCTGGCTCCACCTTTATTACCTCACCTTCTTTTTCTCTGCCCGGAGATGCAGGAGGCGTCACTGTCTCCAATGAGCGTTCTTTCTCTTTGCGTTTCTTATCCTTGTCCTTCTTCCTTGACGTTTTCTCTTTCTTCTTCCTTTTAAGTTCCTCAGGTGGTGATGCTGACCTTGCCTTGTGCTCTTTGTCGGGGGCTGCCTCTCTTCCCTTATCCTCTTCTGCCGGGGCCTCCGCCTGACACCCCAGTCCAGCCGACTTGGGGAAGGCTGCTGGCGGGCCTCTCTCAGTAACAGGCCAGGAAGGGACTGCCACCCCTTCTTGGCCCCGCAAGTTTCCCTCCACAGCAGGAGGTGCTCCTACACCCTCAATCAGGTCTTGGAGCTCACCGTAGAAGTTTCTGACCCGCCTCAGGGCCTCCCACCGTAACGCTTCGGTTAGGCGGGAATCCCCAATCAGCAGACCCACTCGGTTCCAGGAGGCCACCAGTAGGGACTCCACACCAGGAGGTGCGGGGCCTCCACTCATAACACCCTTAACTGCGCAAGGATTCAAAAGTTGACAAACACTTCACTCATCTATTATCACCGGGGCGTACAATCATATATATAATGTATATCTAATGTATTTATAATGTATATAATGTATATAATGTATATAATTCAAATAATGTATATGATGTATATAATGTACAGTATATAACGTATAAAATGTGTATAATGTATATAATGTGTATTTAAATATAATCTGTATGTAATGTGTATATATAGTTTTTTATTGGTATATAATGTATATATCATGTGTATATATTTAATGCATCTATATATGATGTATATAAAATGTATATAAAATGTATAAAATGTATATATATATAATGTATATATATATATCTTATTTGTATATATATATATATACATATGTATTATGTGTGTATATATAATGTATACATATTTATATTATGTATATATATATTGTGTATATTTGCAAAATGTATATATTTATATGTATCTATAATGTTTATATGCATATAACGTGTATATATATAATGTGTATATATATAATGTAAATATATGTCATGTATATAAAATGTATTTATATATATAATGTGTATATATATATACCAAACAATATGATAGAGGTTGGTCTCAAAGTGGGGGATACCACATGTTACGACCATTAAAGTATTAGGGAACATGTAGCAATGTCAGACCTGAAAGTCTCTGTAGATTTGGGTCTTAGAATTTCGCAAACCCAGGATCCCAGAAAATGACGGGAATCTGTAAGAATGATGTGAGCGAAAACCCTGCAGGTTTTACCATAATAGTTGATGGATTGTCTAAAGGTGTGGGCAGAAAAACGAAAACATGAGGCATGACTTGGAAATCCCAATGAAAAGCAGCCATTCGAGCATTCGAGGATTTTTCAATAGTTCCAGACCCAGAGTTCTACTGCAAAAAAAACTGCAAAAGTCACTAAAGCTGCACAGTTTCGCCACGCATCGCCCATGAAATCCATGAAGTGCCATGATGGCTGGCGTCGTTTCCCCAGATGACCCAATGCCCATGTTCTGATCATCAGGTTGAGCTATTCAAAATAATTGTCGATGGAGGGATGAATGAATATGTGCCAAATGAACATGTGTGTCATCAATCCCGGCCGAAAAAAAAACACACGGGTGATTTTAAAATCACACTTTCCCCATGATATTTCCACGATGCCCGCCTTTTTCCAAGCCAAGCAACCCACCAAGCGCGCGAGGACATGCCTTCCTCATGCCCGAAGCAGGGATAAACTGGCGCGGGACGCGGGAATCTGTTGAAAACCCATAACAAAAAAATGGTTCCATCATTAGAAATATCTCATCACCCCAGGATCTATAGATGGCAACCTCTCTACAAGACATAAAAAGAACGTGCTGGGGATTTACCACCAAATTTTCAGTGGACTTTGAGAAAAAGATGTTGCCCCATTTTGATAACCATTTTCATTAAGACGGGAACAAAAAAAGTCTGGGTTCTTGGGGGAGTGATCTACACTTTACGGAACTGCCAAGCCTTTGGAACACTTTATTGGAGGGTAATGTTCAATCATATTTAACCATCCTAAATGAGGAGGTGGCTGAATGGAAAGTAAGTGTAACATTCCCTCGGTATCCCTCGGTAATACCCCAGGCTTGCTTGTGTCAAATCATCTGGTGACGGTAGATATCTTTTACGGTGGAAAATTTCCAACGCCATGTCGGATTGCTGCACCATTAAATATACCCTCTGGATCCCTCTGGTAATTTAACATAGCTACTGGAAATGGCACATTTACAGTTGATTTACCCATTCAAAATGGTGATTTCCATAGCTATGTTAGTTTACCAGAGGGTAAATTATGAACATTTTTTACAACAGCATTTGGTGGCATGAAGATCCATGTACTCATCCATGAAGAAAAACCATCATTTTCTGCAAGGTCCCAAGATTTTGACCCAGCAGGCTGGTCGGGCAATCTGCACCTCTTTGACATGTTCCCGATAATGCGTGCGATTGGAACCTATTGAAACCCTGCAAATTCAACACGGAACCCAAACATTGGCCATTTCTACTCCAAAATGAATCTTCCAAACCCTTTTTTAATGGTTTCCATGCGATATTCAGATCCTAATTAGCCCTGGATTGGCCTGCACGAATCCTCCCAGAGATCCTTCCCCTCCATGGCACGTTGAGAAGTCTCTCGAAATGCTTCCTTAAAAGCAGGTCTCAGCTCCTGCAGAAATGGTTCTGATTTTGCCATGAACACCAACAGGAGTGGGAGTTTAACAGCAAAAATTCAGATTCAATCGGCAAGAATGGGAAGAATATGGAAGAAGCATCCATCATCTTGGCTTGCGGAAGCCTGCGCCGTTTAAAGCCATCGTTCCCTTTTATTGGTGAGAAATCTCCGTGGACCCTCGAAAGTCTGCACTTCCGTCGTTGCCTAGGCCTAAACCCCGAATTCATGAATCCCCTGAGACACCCCTTTCCTGTAAAACCCAAAGTGTTGCTCTTAAAACCCCTGTTCTGCATGTGAAACCCCACTATTCACTGCTTAAAAGCCACGTTTGCAGGAAAAAAACACATGTTTGGTGTTTTCATTTGTGTTTGTTGTGCTCATCCTTTTTTTAAAATTGTTTCAACCGCCATGTTGGCCGGGTGTTGATCCGGGTTTGGCGACTCGATTATCAGCTACTTACGATTCCTGGAATGCACGCTAGGGAAATCACCCCAGCTGCATGATTTGCGTGCCAGGTAGTAACTGGCCAAAAACAACAGTGAGTTCACCCAGCTTTAAATGGCAGTTAATAAAGTGCGATGCCATAACCAGTGGCTAACTTAGATGATCCTCCAACCCCCAGCTGGCAAGTTGCCACAGGATCCGCTGACATGATCCGCTGGTCCGCTGATCCGCTGATCTGCTGATCCGCTGATCCGCTGATCCGCTGGGCTGGCCGGGCGGCAGGAGGATCATGAGTGAAAAACACTGTGTTTCGCGACTTTTCTACCTTTTCGTACCCCTGCATCTTCTTTCTTCTGACTCTTTCTCTTCTCTGATCTTCTTTCTTCTTCCTTTCTCTTCTCTGACTCTTCCTACCTGTTTTCCATCTGTCCATATTGTCTGAAGTTTGACGTCTAAGCTTCCTCCGATCATTCATATATGTATATATTTAATTATCCCACTTAGTAGTGGAACAAACTTCCTCCGATTATTGGATTACCAATGGTTTATCATTGGATTTACCATATTAAATCGTATTAAACCCACATGATGCCTCCAAATCAACCCCACACTATCATTATCATTATCTATCATCATCATCTATTATCTACTACCTATTACTGTATATGAACATAGATAATAGATCATGATAATAGATCATGATAATTGATAATCTGATAATCTAAATCTATCATATTATCAGATAATGATATATTATCATATAATGATAGATTTAGATAATGATAATAGATCATATAATAATATTATCTATCATTATCATGATATGATCCCACCAGTAAATCCCATCACATTGGGATCAGCTCGGCAGCTCGACTCGCTCCTCCGCGCTGGGCGGATCCTCCAACTTCCCCCAGGCCGCGCAGGCGGCGTAGCTCTCGTGGATGGGCCACCTACGACGACCCAAAAACCACGCGGGGTTTCCCTAGTTCACCTGGGAGAAATATGGAAAATATATGGAAAAATCTGAGAAAATGGAAGAAAGCTGTGATTTTTTTTGCTGATTTTGTTTTGTGCTTTTTTTTGTCCACTTACCTTATAATTATGCGGAAAATAGATGGAATTTCACGATGTTCTCAATGATCTTTGAAGTACTAAATGGTTTTACCGACCACCAAAATAATGATGTACCATCTGGTAATTTAACAATTTTGTGAACTGGAAAATCATTATGTTTAAGAGGCAAATCATCGAACTAAATGGGGCATGGCTTCCGTGGCTATGTTGGTTTGCTGGGGAGCCTTTTGGAGCCCGATTTTGGGACTTTTGCGGCTCCGGGGCCGGCTATTAAATTGCTAATATAGAAATGAGCCGAAACGGCCGTTTTGGGCCAAATCCTGGCCGGAAGCCTTTTTGGAGCCCGATTTTGGGATTTTCGCGGCTGCTGGGCCGGCTATTACACTGCTAGTATGGGAATGAGCCGAGACGGCCGTTTTGGGCCAAATCCCGGCCGGGGGGTAAATAGGATACAGATGGAATACATGCAAGATGCGTTGAAGGCAAAATATGAGATTCGTTCATTGATTTTGGTGGATTTCAATGGATGCATAACCAATGATGACAGTGATCTTTTAATGTATGAAAATTGGATTCTTTGGATTCTTGAGCCATAAAAATATGCGAATGTAATTGATTTTGTGATGTTTTGTGGATCTATACGGTTGGATTCACAATTGATGGTATTTGAAGATGTAGAAAAGTATTCATAATCAGCATGGAGCGTAGTTGGGAAGGGATTGGTGATTCATCCAACAAAACTATAGCTGCCTTTGACAACAAAAATGCTTACCCTTTGGTAATTTAACATAGCTATTGAAAATGGCCATTTATAGTAAGTTTTCCCAGTAAAAATGGTGATTTTCCATAGTTATGTTAGTTTACCAGAGGGTATATACTTCACTAAGAACAGAGTGAGTTCACCAAGAGGGCTGAGAAAAAATAGGGATCTACCCAATCGACCTCCGAAATGGGGTGCCTGTGCACCAGCAGCGTACCGGTCACGTCCAACGACAGGGCCTCCGACGGAAAAGAACAAAAACTGTGCATCGCCTGAAAAAAAATGGATGTTGAGCAACTAAAATGGGAGGGAATAAAAACTGTTTGGGGCAATGTTTAATGGGATATCACTGGATATACATATATATATATATATATGTATACATATTACATATATAACATTGTATAACCATATATACATCTGCCGATGTCACCTACAGTTTGACATTCGGTTGTGTCCAGACAAGGGACATTGCTTCATTCAATTTCTGGCGGTTGAAAACTACAAGTGGTGCGCCACACTCAGCAGTATGTTAGTTTTTTCAGTGGCTTGACTGGGAGTCCAACGAAGGGTGTGAACATGTGTGAACGGTGTGAACCAAGAAAAACCTGATGAGCTTGAAGGATGAGACAAACCTGGTTCAGCGGAAACATACTGGGGGTCCCTGGAAGAAGATTCTATGGTTTAAAATGATGGGTGTTTCAAGCGAAGTGGCTGGAAGACAAGAGAACCTCTCTGATCAGGGAAAAAGCTTGTTCTTTTGCGAAATCGCAAGAAATTGACGCTCTATGGGCATCCAAAGCATAAAAACACATGTAGAATAGGCTGAATAGGTATTGTATATCTGCAGCCATCTAGGATGGCCATGTTGCATGTCCAATTGGCGAAAGGGCGGTCCAATTGGGACACGTCGCCAACCCGAATGGTTGATTTACCGTACTCGTTTGCAATTATGGTTTATGTATGTTTATGTCTTGATTCAAACATCATGGCTTACTTATGTGTCTGCCTCGGCAGTGGTCCCCCCCGCAAACATGTCGTTCACTTGAACCCGCAACCAATCATGAGATTTATGGTTGTTAATCACAATACCTCCTAGCCTAGTCTCCCGAGCAAACGCTTCGCAAACCCCAGTTCATGTTGGGCATATCTCCATTTTCCTCTGGTGAAAATCATGTGAAATCACCATGTTTGCTGTTTGCATCCCAAGGTTTGTTGGTTGTCGATTCTTCTTGCGCCAATACTCATGTTAGCCCATGTGAAACCCCCGTGGCCCAATAAATCCCAACTTTTGCCTGGCTATAAATCCATGTTTAACCAACATTTGTAGGCAAGCCAACCAGGTTTAGTGATCGAATCCCAAGCTTTGCTGTTCCTCACCGGTGAAAAAGCCGTGCCTTCACGGCCGGCCACAGGGCACGAGCCGTCATGGCTTTCCCAAAGTCACGGATATCATTGCAGTTGGTCGCGCACAAAACATCTAGGAGTTGATCCTCAGCCATTTCCTTGTTCCAAGGCTATCAGTTATCACATACTGGGATGATCTGGGATGCACCTCCCAAAGACGATATGTTCCACTTGTTCCCATGGGTCCTGGGTGAAAAATCGATGTATTCCCTGTATGTTGTATTGTTCGAAGAAACGTCCTTCATTCTGCTGAAACCATCTATGTATATCTATGTTGGCTGACTCAATGCAGTTGTTTCGTCAAAATCTTCGCGTGGTGTTTGCTTGTCTCATCTATCCATGATTATAAATGTATATAATGAGTGTGTATTCATATGCGTATGGGTATCAATGTATCTATATATATATAGGCGTCTGTTTGGGTCAATTATTGTTCACATGGACTGTAGAAGAAATGTCCAAATCAGGTGGCAGGGAATGAAGAACTCTCAGCCATTGGGAAGATAGCAACCCACAGGCCATCTAAGCAGGTGGTTCAATACTACGATACTTCCTTTACCTTCCACTTGTATCGCTTCTCTTCTTTCGCCCTTGCTATTGCTCCCTCACTTTCGTTTCAGACCCCATCTATTCTTTCGTCACCCCCTTTTCGTTCCTTCGTCTCTCGTCCTTTCACCATTCACCTCTCCATTTTCTTCTATTACTCCTTATTTTTCCCACCATTTCATCCGATCACCTTCGATCCTCGTATTTGTTATTTTCCCTGCAACCCTCCCCTCGGGTCCGCGACTTCACTACTTTCCATTTTTATAGCTATCTTTCCCCCCCACACGTCCACTCCACTATTCTCACCTTAGCCCCCGCGCCTATCCCCTCTTTTATTTCCCGTCCCCCTTCCCACCTCCCCTCCCCCCCGTCTCCTATTCCCCCCTGAAAATCGATGTATTCCCTGTATGTTGTATTGTTCGAAGAAACGTCCTTCATTCTGCTGAAACCATCTATGTATATCTATGTTGGCTGACTCAATGCAGTTGTTTCGTCAAAATCTTCGCGTGGTGTTTGCTTGTCTCATCTATCCATGATTATAAATGTATATAATGAGTGTGTATTCATATGCGTATGGGTATCAATGTATCTATATATATATAGGCGTCTGTTTGGGTCAATTATTGTTCACATGGACTGTAGAAGAAATGTCCAAATCAGGTGGCAGGGAATGAAGAACTCTCAGCCATTGGGAAGATAGCAACCCACAGGCCATCTAAGCAGGTGGTTCAATACTACGATCCCAAGCATCCCCCTACTGAAAAAAATCATGACCGACCGGTGACGACCATGAGCAGTGCCAGTGCCAAGGGCTCGGGTGGGATGCTCCACTAGCTGCACTAAGTTTCATCCTCTGCCACCAATATCTGCCGCATAGTCATTTAAAATATGGCTAAAACCCTCATAGCATTCAAAATTCATAGTATCAAATGAAGCACATCTGAGCACCTCAGATATGTGTGTGTGTGTTCTGACTCAACTCAAAAAGTATGTTGAGGGCTGCACGAAAACAGGTACGGGTAGGTTCCAGTACTATATGCAAAAAACAGATTCCGAGCTTCGCTGCGGACATCAAGGGTTGTCTTGCTTTAAAGCTTTGCTTGCCAAGGTAAACCCAATCATAAACCAGCTCCAACTATCCAATCGTAAACCAGCTCAAATTTTACACCAGAAATGGGTGGAGGACCCATCAAGGCTACCTTCCCACCAGGCGACCCGTACGCCAGCAAGTTTCAGGAGGCATGTCCGGATGATCCGGCGGGAGGCGGTAAAGCCAATGATAAACCTCCCTTGAGGGGTTACCAATCATTGATAGTACTGAAGTAGAATATTGGATAGGGCCATAATGGTTTATATAAACATGTCTAAACTATAGGTGGACCCCAACGATACCACCCAATGATCCTATGTGGTAAATCCAAGTTGGTTTGCATTGGGTAAATTCGGAATTGTTTACAGCTTAAAAGTTTGGGGAGCTGAGCTGCCCCAATACAAAAACCAGGCTGCTGTCCCTCTACAACTAATTGATGGACACTTCCTGTGGTGTCCAAAAAAACACCCTACACCACTGTCTTCCTACAAAGTTTGAGCCGCTGTTCAGGTCCCTTGAAGGCAGAAGGCCATCCATATCGACCGACATGCACATATCTGGAGGTAGATACATGTTGACTTTCTGTTTTAACTCTTCAGTAATCAAACATGGCACTGGAAAATCCACCAAAAATGATTTCATCATTAAAACCTCCATTTATAGATTTATGTGGTGTCCCAGCCAGCCATGTTGGATTAAGGCTACACCAGGCCACAATGATATTTCTCTGGTGGTTGAGCCATCCCAACAGGCCGTCTTCGTCTGAGATCACCTGTAGAATAGAGGACCATATTTGAAACTAGCAACCAAGGAAAAACATGGAAAAACACTATAATAGTAATAGTATAGCTGAATCAGAAACTTGGGGAATGGAAAGGACCCCTGTGGCATGTTTGCTCCACCGTCGGTTCTCAGAAGGTCTTCAATTCAAGGTGGACTTTCAATCAGCAGAACTTTGGCTTAATAACCCCTTGGGAGGCATTTTTGGACTGCTTGCCTATGCCCTACAACTAAGGGTTGCCTGACAAATTTATATATATATATAAATTATATATATACATGTATATGTGTGTGTATGTGTATGTGTGTGTATGTGTGTATGTATGTATGTATGCATGTATGTATGTATGTATGTATGTATGTGTCTGTATGTATGTATGTATGTATGTATGTATGTATGTGTGTATGTATGTATGTGTGTATGTATGTATGTATGTATGTCTGTCTGTCTGTCTGTCTGTCTGTCTGTCTGTCTGTATGTGTGTATGTATGTATGTATGTATGTATGTATGTATGTATGTATGTATGTATGTATGTATGTATGTATGTATGTATGTATGTATGTATGTATGTATGTATGTATGTATGTATGTATGTTGTATGTATGTTGTATGTATGTATGTATGTATGTATGTATGTATGTATGTATGTATGTATGTATGTATGTATGTATGTATGTATGTATGTATGTATGTGTGTATGTATGTATGTGTGTGTATGTATGTATGTATGTATGTGTGTATGTATGTATGTATGTGTGTATGTATGTATGTATGTCTGTCTGTCTGTCTGTCTGTCTGTCTGTCTGTCTGTCTGTCTGTCTGTATGTATGTATGTATGTGTGTCTGTGTGTATGTATGTATGTATGTATGTATGTATGTATGTATGTATGTATGTATGTATGGTTCATGCATGCATGCATGTATGCATGTATGCGTGTATGTGTGTATGCATGTATGCATGTATGTATGTATGTATGTATGTATTGCGAATCGGGGATTGTATGTCCGATTATATCCTGGTACTTGGGGTTGAAGTAAGTGCTTCGGTGACGACTTCACTCGGATGGCGGCTTCTGCATGGCAACTCTTTACTCTGATGCTGCAGTGGGTCTTGAGCCAAAGAGGCCAGTTTGAAATACCCCTTCGGCATTGGATCCTAGAGTGTCGAATTATATGTGAATATACAATCGTACGTAGCCTACACTCTATTCGCACCCCCCACGCATAGCCCACTTCGTTGGCTACGCGCAAAGGAGTGTCCCTTGAATTGATCCAATACACTTGCAGCTGTTCATTTATTGAGTTATGGAGAGCTAAAGTCCGTTCAGAACTTTACATCTACATGGCGGCTTGCTACGATCTCTACCAAAAGATAAAAGGTTCTGTTCACGTGCACGCAGACACGACGTAGTCGGTGTGTAGCATTGAGGTTCATCCGATGTGGCGTAGCCAGCATGGAATCCCACTCAAGCATGTGAATTAAAGAAATCAAAACACAAAGTTGACTATGGAACTAGAAGTTTACCTTCCCGTTCCTTCGTCGGTTGAGATGTAGACCGCTGTAGAAACTCAGCGTCTCGCGCAATGATGTTCTAAAAAAAATGTGTGGTTCTAAATTAGCCGGCTCAGAGTCCTCTCAGAAATCATTCGCAATGAAATAGAGGTAAATCTCGAGCAATGATTGCATCCTCGCATCGCCAGGTTCAATCAGGACCTATGCAGAGGTAATATCGATTCATCATCTATATCCCCATCCATAGTATCCCTGTTGGTTCCAGTCGCCACCACGATGCGAATAAGATCTTCCACCTTTTCCTTTGTCTTTTCCACCTTTCTGTGGCGGTGTTACTGGAGCTTGTTTTGGCGGAGGAGCGGTTTCAACTGTTCTCCAAGTTGCTGAAGATGATGCTTTCGCTTTTGACACCCTGCCCAGTGCTGTTGCCGCTTTCGGGGCTGCTTTCGATTTGCCAGCGGCTTGGTTAGCACGTTCACGATCAGCAGGAGTTGGGGTATCAGCAATCGCAAGTATGTGAGCGTCAGACATGTGGATGCCCCATCTTGGTCGTTGATCGTCCCGCTGCTTGATGTGGTTGTAGTCATCGATCGCATCATACAGTTTCTGGAGTAGAGGTCGTGGCAATTGTCGGCTATTCTGAAGGATCAGGTGTAAAAGTGATATTCTTCGAAGAGCGGGACGAAGAGCACACACAATGTCAACTGGGTTCAGTGTGATTGTGTCTTGAAAGTCGACGTTCCTGAAGAAATAAACAGCATTCACCCTGTATGCACCTGCAATGATTCTTCTGACCATGACGTCTTGTCGGTCAAGGGCGTCGCGGGCCGCTGTGGTCTTTCTCATCTCATCCATCGTTGTGTCACGTTTCGACAGCTTCTCCATCTCCTCCTCAAAGAAGATATTTTGTAAGTCATCATACGTGTAACCACATTCAAGGGTATATATGAGAAGTCTTTTGAGTACCACTGCCCCATAGTATGCATTGACGAATCCCTCTTCTCCGATGTCGTCCTTTTGATTTGGTCGGCCGATCTCTTCGTAGAGCTCTTTCATCTGTTGTGCAGTTGGTTCAATGAGTTCACCATTCTCATCCTCGCCTAGGTAAGGCACTCTTGAGTCCAGG